TTTGTACGCATCTGTTTTCATTTAACAAACCCCATCCCCTTCTACTTACGTATGCATTATTTATTGCAAAATCAACTCCCCCCTCTTTCTTTAACGCATAAATTTTTAAAAACATTGAAAATAAAAAAACTTTCAGTTAATTCCACATAGGGACCATCCATAAAGTACATACGCAGGTATGGGGGAGGGGGTTTCCCAAATGCGTACGAACGCGTACAAGGGGAGGGGGGAGGTGTTGAAGACAGTGAGTAAGTACGCGGTTTGACCGTCTCTAGTAAACATTTTTTAACATTTTTTTTTTAAAACATTGAATTTTATGTCTGTAACAAATCAGAAGTGTTTTTTTTGACTTCAGTCACAATTTTTTTTTAATTCTTTTGTAAATAATGAGGAGAAAAAAAAGAATTCGAGTTAATTTTGAAAAAAAAAAATAACAACGCGTACGTACGCGGATAGGGGGGTCTTTAAAAGCGTACAGGTTCGTACAAAGGGGAAGGAGGATACTCAACAGGTGTCTATAACAATTTTAACCTAAAATAATTTTTCTACTTCCTTGCAAATATTTGTATTTTATTTGAAAATGAAATTTTTTTGTAATATATTATCTTAAATTCATAAACTATATATGTAGCCAAAAAATATACAGATACCGTAGCGTAGCATAGCAAGTGATAACTATGGAATACTAGAGACAAGAAATAAATAGTATTTTATACAGATTTAAGTTAGCAAATTTAGTTTTCAGTTCTTGCAGATGTTTTCAAACAATATTTTGATTTTCTATGTTACAAATGCTTGCTGTTATAGTTAACAACAGTTAAAAAGTTGTTTTCAATATTCTGGATGACCAGAGCAGTGCTTGTAGTTTTTTTTGCTTGAGGAGTGGTCATCTTTCCCAATAAACATTAAATTTTGAGAGGATTGTTTCAGTTGCTTATTCACTAAAGATTTCTTTAGCGTTGTTCTAAAAAATGAAGAAACAACTTCATTGAAATGCCTTAGAGTTCTAATAAAACCAAAGACTTCACAAGCACAGGCTTTTTCAGCTATTCTTTGGAAAACGTCAATGTTTTTTAAAAGGCAATCATTGCCTTTGAAGTGTCCGCCATTGTAAGGCTGAAGATGAATGTGCTGCCTATTCTTTGGCTTCAGGCCACAAATCTAAAAGAGATGATTAATAACTTCAAGAAGAAGATAGAGTTCCATGGGCGGAATAACATCTAAAATGAGCACTGATTTGTCCACATTGATCGACGGCAAATAGATTTCTAAAATATTTTGTCCACATTGATCGACGGCAAATAGATTTCTAAAATATTTTGTCCACATTGATCGACGGCAAATAGATTTCTAAAATATTTTTTCCACATTGATCGACGGCAAAATAAAATTTCTAAAATATTTTGTTTAGTTTAAATCTGAGCCATTAGCAACAAACTTTTCTTCAATACGTCAAAAGATCTTAGAGATCCACATGCTGATAGATTGTCGGAATTGATTGTCGGATAGATTGTCGGAATTGTCATCGCACTAGAAGTAAGGATGCTTGCTTGAATGGGAATTCCAAAAATAATATTGGTCATTTTTAAATTACATGAAATGTAAAATACCATGTCATTTAATTAAATAATATTCATCAACGCTTTGACATTCTTGTATGTTTCAGGTAAATTTTCAACTTTAACAGCAATAAGCTGACGATTAACACCTGTGTCTCGAGATATTGAATCTAATAGCATGTGACGTTTTATTTGTTGAAAACTACTTGTTTTGACTCTCTTATAAGTTATTTTAATAACAGCCGAGCTCATTTTCAAAAATGATCCTCCACCATCAACTCCAAGTTTGATAAAATGGCTACAATAACTGTCCAACAGCACCTTGTTAGTTAAATTTTTTAAATTTTTTGCATTGAACAGCATGTTTTTGTTCTTCAGTTTCTTCCTTTGCAGTTGCAAAATTGACAAATGAATGCTGAAAGAAATCTTGTAATGTTTTTCTGGGAGCATTAAATTTTTCCTAAAAACCTTTTTCAACCAGTCGAGTTCCTGTTGCTTTGTTGAGAGTTGAAGCAAGTTTTCAATCTGACTTAAAATAATGTGTAATAAAATAAAAGTAATAATACGTAAAAATGTTAACAACAATTTTTACTGCTAAGTATTGTTGAACTTTAAATATTTTAAGTTAAAAAAAATGTATATTTACCTGGTATTACTGGAAATGTTCTTCCTCTTTTGCTTAGTTAAGACTTTTTCTTTAGGAGAGAAAAATTTAGCTTTTATCTCAGCAGATGCAATTCGCTCTGCTTCAACTTGACCTTCGTTAGCCAAATCATGCAAGTTTTGGAGTTTTGTTGCAATCGCGCAGTAATGGCTGGAACCTCGAGCTATAATTGACAAACAATGCGTACATATTTTTTCTGTTGACAGAAACGAAAAATTTTAAAAAGTTTCAGGCTTGGAAGATGTGCTATCTTTAGAATTTATAATATGTGTCTCTGGTCCTAAAAGATACTTTTCATTATGCTTAAGCTTCCCAATTTGGCAAATAAAACAATCACATGCATTAGAAGTTCGTGTAAAAAGTTTGATAACTAATGTAGAGAAATTGTAGAAAGGCGGCAATGAACACGTAATATCACCGACATCTTTTTTTTATAAAACAATTTGACATGAGTTGCAAATACCACGTTCATCTGCATAATTTGTCACTTTTTACAAATTTTTGAATTCTTGCAATAATAAAGTCATTTAAATATCTGTCAATTTTTCTCATACATAATAAACACTTATCTTTTTACTTTATTTAGCATTTTAATTGATTTCTTGTCAATTTTTTCTTAATCAATTCCCCCCTCTTTTCTCTAACGCATAAATTTTGAAAAACATTGAAAATAAAAAAACTTTCAGTTAATTCCACATAGGGGCTTTCCATAAAGTACATACGCAGGTATAGGGGAGTGGGGTTTCCCAAATGCGTACGAAATATTTTTTTCATTTTTCATAATTTGTTTTGAAACACTGTTATTTGGTCCGCAGGATCAAAAAAAAGCATCCAAGCTGGAATAAATTACTTAAGAACGGTTAGAAATTTGCTGACTTTATACACAAAATTTTTTATTTAAAAATTGTTGTTTAAAAGATAATTCAGAGTGACAGCAAAATTTTGATCTAAAATTTTGAGCCTAAATAACTAAGGAATCAAAACAGTAAAATTAAAACTGTAAACTCATTTAACTCCCAAAACTTTATTCTGAGAAAAACAGAAAACAAAAATAAATAAATTCTAGTGATACTTGAAAAAACATTTTCCAGTATCACTAGAAATTAAAGTTACGACACTGTTTATCCTAACATATGGTTGTTATAATCACAAGAAATATCTGACTTGCTCTCAATAGGATCTTTTTTAACCTCAGCAGCCGAGTATATTCTAGGGGTGTACCGGATTAGAAATTTTGAATTCCGGCCAAAACCGGATTTGCCGGAATTGTTAAAAAAATTCCGGCGAAAAATTCGGCCGAAACAAGAATTATATTTATTTGATTTTTTACCTTCAAGATTGAAAGTGAAAGCCTGCACCACAGCATCATGGCTAAATAATATATATTGATAACCTTTAATATACATATATATATATATATATATATATATATATATATATATATATATATATATATATATATATATATATATATATATATATATATATATATATTTATATATATATATTGATATATATATTGATATATATATATTGATATATATATATATTGATATATATATATATTGATATATATATATATATATGTATATATTGATATATATATATATATATATATATATATATATATATATATATATATATATATATATATATATATATATATATATATATATATATATATATATATACATATATATATATATATATATATATATATATATATATATATATTTATATATATATATATTTATATATATTAATATATATATATATATATATATTGATATATATAATTGCGTTAACTGTTTATTATCAAACACTGTAAGATCAATCCAATAACTGATTATAAAAGTTACCATATATATATATATATATATATATATATATATATATATATATATATATATATATATATATATATATATATATATACATATATATATATATATATATATATATATATATATATATATTTATATATATATATATTTATATATATTAATATATATATATATATATATTGATATATATAATTGCGTTAACTGTTTATTATCAAACACTGTAAGATCAATCCAATAACTGATTATAAAAGTTACCATTCTTCCTCCAATATTCAAAACTCTTTCAAATGTCTCTTAGGTACTTATTTGATTTTTTTAGATCTGTTTCTTCTCTGGATAATATTGGACTCTTTTTTATATTGCAAATAAAAAGGTCTACAAAAGTGACTTATATACGTAATTGTAAAAATAATATGCAGAGATAACTCCTAAAGCTATAATACTAAACTTTGTAATAATATAAAAATTATAAATAATAAGTTTAAAATAATACGAAAAAAGTAGTGTTTTTTCATTACGATTTTTAAAGATTCGAGAACCTCTTTTATTTATTACATATTATAAAATTAAAATATATGAAAATATCAAATGCTCCAATAGAATAGCCATTTTTTTTTTGTTAATTTTAAATTTATAACAATTTGAAGTTAAAACTCCCGCGTTTTTAGGTTTTATTGATGAAGAGCTTTCTAAATAAAGTTTGAAAAATATAAGCTAAAATGTTTTTAACAAGCTTTTTAATATTTATATGAACGGCCTATTAAGCCTTTTTTATTTGTATTATTAGGAAATACATTTAAAAATGCTATTAAAATACCTATTTAGTATTTTTAATAGTATCTTTAATAGAAAAATTACTAATTAAATAAACGTATTAATCTTTCTTTTATTAAATTTGAGAAAACATAAGAACTTTAATTATAGAGTTTTAAAAGACGAAAACAGTGATTGAATTCTTAATGAACTGAAAATATTGCGTCAAGAACAACAACTAAAACTGTTTATGAGCTATATATTTCTGCGTCCACTGCGGCAATTCAAACTTTTATGACAAGTACAGTGAGTTAAGAGCAGCGACTTAAATTGTTTATTAGCTAAAACTGCTTCAAAGTTTTGAAAACAGCAGACATGAAAAAGTATTTTTTAATAGTCTCTCGCAAAGATTGGAACAAAATCAAGTTTTTATTGTACAATATTTTAGATAAAACAGGTACAAAATCATCTTTTATTTATAACATTATTGTGTTTCTGTTCTTAGCAGGAGCCGTAATTTTGCATATAGTGTCAACCGTAAACATTCTAGAAGAAAACTTCAATTTACGTTTTGCAATATTTGTTTACGACTTTTTCGTACTCATTTTCTTTGGTTTTGAATTTGTAATTCGTTTATTCGTTTGCAGTGCAAACGTAAGATACTGTGGAATTCGTGGAAGACTGATATACATCAAGAAAGTTTACACTTTGATTGATATTTTAGTAATAGTTTCATCAGTAGTTATTATTGTTTTACATTATAATGAGTCGTACAGAGGGACAATGCATTATGCTAATTATTTTCAAATATTACGATTGGTTCGAATTGATAGAACAAAAGGTCATTTAGAAACAATGTGGCAGGCAATTTATAGTCACAGAAAAGAACTTTTAACATGTTACTTTTCTTGTATATCTATACTCGTGCTAGGAACTTATATCATTTTCCTAATGGAAAGTCAATCAGAGCCAACAGATCACAGCATTGATAATATGATGAATGGTTTATATTGGGGTATTGTAACATTTACAACAACTGGATATGGAGATTATGCTCCACAAACATGGTACGGGCAGCTGATCACTGGACTTTTGTGTATGATAGGATGTGCTTTCTTTGCGCTTCCGGCTGGTATCTTAGGCTCCGGATTTGCTTTGCAAGTCTCTAAAAAGAAAAAAGAAAAAGGTTCAATAAAAGTGAAAAATCCTGCCGCAATATTAATTCAATGCGCGTGGAGAAATTATGCAGTCAAAAATTTAAACTCGAAAGCAACGTGGAAATATGTAATATCAAAAATTGCGGCTGAAAAAGAAAAAGCCAACGCTGCTAAACAACTCAGTTCTCGAGTAACAACTTTCAGCAACTTAAACACTGACGACCATATTAACAGCGCTGGTATAATTCAAAGTTCAAATTTAAAAACACCAAAAAGAAAAGATCACAAGGAAAAGTCAAAAACAAACGGAGCTGGGCAACCTAATTATGATACTACATCAAATTATCGAGGAATAAGTTTAATAAGAAGCTCTGACACAAGAATTGTAAAAAGTTATGATAATATTGATCACGTTGTAAGCGCTGGCATAATTGAAAATTCAAGTTGTGAAAATTTAAGAAGAAATTATCAAATAGCAAAGTTTAACGAAAAAACTAACGCGAATAAAAAAGTAACAATTTCTATTGATCATGTGAATAGTGTTGGTATTATTGAAAATAGAAACTTAAAAACGCCCAAAAAAATATTTAATAACAAAAACCTTCGACAGAAAAGTTTTAAAAACAAAACAAATGAAAACTGTTTTGACGAGCTTGTTGATATTTTCTTAAAACATAACCAATCAGAGTGCTGGTCTGCTGAGATCCCCTTTAAATATAAATTCCTATATAACTTTATTAGCATTCTTAAAGTAATTTTAGCAGTGAAATTCTTTTCTGTCACTAGACACCCCTACGTTAATCTTGAACATATTCTTCAGATAAATAATTTGAGTCTTTCATGCTCGTCGTCTCTTTTAAGAGAAATAAAAAGCACCATTGGGCTAATACAGTCTGAAATTAAAGATTTGCAAAAAGAGATTCAAGAACTGAAAAACTCAAAAAACCAAAGAAAATATTCTAGTTGCATTGACAATGATAATATCAACTTACGTTACTGAAAATAATGACATTAAATTGTTGAAGATTTAAATAATTTAAAAAGTGTTGAAGTTATAATGAAATACCGAGTCGCTTTATTGAAGATAAATTCAAAAGATAATGTTTATAGCCGGATTATATCATATTAGCTTTTCTGGAAAGAAACGCCTTTTAATTATCATTCATTTTTAAAGTATTTTAATTTAAGATTTGGATAAATACCGTTTTTTTGTTAGAACTTTTTTTGGATAACTTTTTAATACTAAATATTTTTAAACTATTATATTATGAGATTGGGTGCATATATATATATATATATATATATATATATATATATATATATATATATATATATATATATATATATATATATATATATACATACGCGTGTGTGTAATTTTTAAGGCTTTATTTTGACTTACTTAAGAATATTGGGTTATGGTTAAAATTCGACATGCTTCATGCTTCAAAATAATTTTGACACTATTTTTATTTGATATAACAGGATTAAATATTTACTATTACTTTATCTAAAAGTAAAATCCTCTTAAGTTATATTTTACCTAAATTTTATACAGATTTTTGTGTAATTTGATTTCCCCAAAGATTTAAGACTAAAAGTAGAAAATTTAAACATTGTGGCAGTGAATGTGAAAATTGAAGGTGAAAGTGAAAATTGCTCTGAGGTGAAAAATTTGTTCAAGCAAATGACCAATTGCCATTGTAACGAAATATTTTTTTTTTGTTTCGTCTGGATGTAGGATTCTATTGCTGTTTAAAGGACTTTGTATACAACAAATTTGAGTGTAATACATGAAAACAAAGATTTTTGAATTACCTGATTTTTTGAAAACCTAACAAAGTCTAAAAAAATTGATACATATTGGAGTTGTGTTGTTAATACGGATGATTAGGCGGTAGTACACCACTGGCAACAAAATTAGAGCCGTGAAAATGAAATGTTACGCTGAAACCGTAAATTTTTAAGGCTTTTGTCTCGCACGTTTATAAATTTATGTAATAATTTATATAAATGTCAAACATTATGCGGCGTATTTATTACAGCTTGTTAGGGACCTAAATAAAATATCAAATCATGTGTAGCAACTGCGGCAAACTCTCTTTGTCGTATCCCGACGGGCATTTGTTTTTAAAAGTTACGTTCTAAATGTGTTTTAAACGTCTTTTAAACGTCTTTCAAACATTAATGTTTAAAAGACGTTTAAAAGACATTTAAAATACATTTAGATTTTAACTTTTAAAAACAAATGCCCGTCGGGATTTTTAAACAATGTTCTTTTATCTTGACTAGTTTATATAGCATTTTAGTCATTTAAGTATTTTATCTTTATTTATAAGAGAATCTCTTAAAAACTAAAAGTCATCGAGAAAATGCAGTTTAACCAGAAATTTTGTTTTAATGAATATCTCTTTCGAATTATAAACATTTTTGCTAATAGTAATGAAGCTCCATCAATAATTAAACAAAATTCAGAAAATTGATGTGTAAAAAATTTTAAACAAATAATATTACTAACGTAAACGGAATCTTCTTTTAATATATCAGAAGATAAGTCCTAGAGACTTTTTGAAAATCTTTAATATTTTTTTATAAAATATGGTTCTAATCTTACTACCTAAGTATCTAAGCTAAATGTAAATACCTTAACTAAGTACTAAAATCTCTCATGTTAACGTTGCTTAAGTTAATTTTACACATTCATGCTTAAGCCAATTCGAACTACGCTTTATATTTTGATCTTTATAATGAATATGGGCAATTTACTAATAAAAAAATTTTTAATACAAAATGTTCGTATCATATAGTGGTAGACTCATGTAACGATTACTTTGAAAACAGTAACCGAATACCACAACAATTGGTATCATTTTGAGGTACAAGTTGCAAAAAACTAACAAAATTTAAATTAAAGCTGAAATCCCAGTTAACTAATCAGACTGAAATTTTATCCAGAGTTTGGTGTGGTTATAAAAACATTTGTTCCATTTTTTATTAAATTATATTTAGAGTGATTCTAATTTAACAGGTGTTGTTAATAGTCAAATTTCATTTATTTTGAACATTTAATTTTTTTCTCAGACAAAATTAAAAGATTTCAAAGTTTGAATGACAGGATACCTTGGTGTGTACGCAGTTCCGTGGCTAATTGGTCGAAGACCCCCACCCAAAAAAAAACCTGCCATTAGGGCCCCAAAATTATAAAAACTTTTCCAGTAGGTATTACTAAAAAAATAAAAAAACTCCTTAAATTTGCAAAAGGGCCAAAAACAATTTCCAAATGGGCCTAAAACTGCTACCCACCCCCAATCGGGGTGTGCTGGCGAACAGAGCCACTGCTCTATTTGTACGCTATCTTTCCCTGTATGTGACGTTCTTGGGTCAACAAGGTTGACAGTATAATGATACTTTATAACTGTGTACAAACAACTCCTAAAAGATACTGGAATTACTTTATCTTTTATTGTAAGTAAATAAAAAAATAAAATCAGTCTTTTTTCATCGAGCTAGATAAAAAATTGAGAAAAAAAATTTTGTGTTTTATCATTTGTAAGTAGAATTTGTTGTTCTTTTGAAAAAAATTTAACCTTTTCTAATTGAGGAAAAGGTAAAAAGTACACAATTTATTGGTAAGGAACGTGAAGAAGTAATGCAATTACAAGTCTTTACGAGCAATTAAATAATCATTCTGACGAGCAAATTTCAACCGCCAAAACTCAATAATGAAAACTTTAGATTCATGTTTTGACAAAATTAAACGGCTGCATTTTGACTTACAATGTGACTAACATAAAATGTATCGTTAGTTAACGTCCTGATGACAAATGTAACACTTCCTTTTTTCATAACGGTATAAGCAACAAGTAGGGTTGAAAATGTCCGGAAGTTTTCCAGGAAGTTTTGCTCAAAACCTCCGGAAATTTTCAAAAATATTACATTGCATTAAAAACCGGGTCAAACCGCACACCATATCATTCCGCACATTGATCAAAATTATCAAATAAAAACTAAACGGATATGGTTATGAAATAAATTAAAATAGATTCAAATACAGAACTATCTCCTCTATTTGAATTGATAAAATTATATGTCGATTCAATTCCGTTTTTTTCTTTTTTTATATAACTTTAACGGGAAGTCAAAATTTTTTAGAATTTTTTTATCGTTGTTAACAAAATAGCGCTTGAACCGAAACTGATATAAAAACAATTTTAGCACTTTCTTCTTGGAAACTTAATTTTAATTCTGATAGTATAATCTTTATGCAGCTAGAACAAAAAGCTAAACAAAAAATCAAAAAAAAATATTTTTTCTGATAAAACCGCACACTCGATTAATTAGTTTAGTTTTTCTGATAAAACCGCATACTCGATTAACTACTTAGTTTAGTTTTTCGCAAGTGATTAAGCGTCTATGTTTATCTAATTAACTTAGCGTTAGTTCCTGTTTATTTAGAAATCAACTATAATGTTATTTGTTAAAATAATCATGTCTTACTCAATAAAAACAAATTATTATAATATTTCTCAATAATCATCACTCACTCAATTCAATTTAACTCACTCACTTTAACATGTCAACTAAAAAACAAAAGCTTACACGGAAGACGATATACTAGCCGCATTAACTGATATGAAAGAAAATAAAACATCACTGAGAAAACCAGCATTCAAACATGGCGTTCCAGTCTCAACGCTTATGGTGCATGCATTCCAATTACTTGGTGACTGGGGTTATGGTTTAACCCAAAATGAAATCCTAAAATTTGTATGTGGCTACCTTAAACGCAAAGATCAATTGCACTTATTCAAAAGTGGCAAGCCTGGTAAAGGCTGGTTTTATGCCTTTATGAAGAGATGGTCAAAAGAAATTTCAACAAAAAAAGCGGATAACTTAGCATCTAAAAGAACCGCTTTTTGTATGTCAGAAATAATTGATCGTTATTTGAATGCGGCGCCAAGCAAAATCAACAGACTGGTATAGCTTCTGGGTTGCATATATTGGAATTGTAATGAAACAGTTTTTTCGGGTGATCAAGACAAAACAACCGTAGTGAGTCGAAAAGGGACAAGACGTACATTTAAACTTACTGGTAACAATAAAAAAATTCTTTATACTGTATACAATCGCTGCAATAGTGATGGGTATTTTGCACAACCATTTGTGATATACAAAGCCAAAAGAAACTTTTGTCCTGACTGGGCAAAAGGTGGTCCAATTGGCACCAATTATTCAATTTCAAAATCAGGTTAAATGGAACGCGATAGGTTAATTAAACAGCTAAAATAAATATTTATACCCAGAACTGAGCCGATTGGTGGTATTCATATTTTAGTATTAGATGGGCATATAACTTACATAACTTTGGAAGCGGTATTGCTGTGCAAAAAACACAATATAATCTTGATTTGTCTACCAGAGCATTCTTCACATATTCTACAACCATTTGATAGAGGTGTCTATTGTCATGTCAAACAAGCGTGGAAAGAAATTCTTACAAAATATTTCAAAGGCTTAAAATGTAAAAATTTAGATAAACAAAATTTTCCACCGCTCAAACTGCTGTACGAGAGTGATAAATGTTTTACACGATTGCATGCAATCACTGGTTTCCAGTACACTGATTTATTTCAACTTAATACCAGATCAATTATTTCTGGCATTAAAAAACAACGTAAATCATTAGGCATTAGCAGCCACACAGACTTTTAATCAATCTTCTAAACTTTAGCAGCCTCCTGTTAAGAAATCGAAGCAGTGCAACATGCCAAAACTTGGCGGAAAATGTATTACCGAAGAAAATGTGATCAATTTCCTCAAACAAAAAGAGGAAGAAAATGAACTAAGGCAGCCGTGAAATTTGCTAAACTTGACACAAAGCGTAGACTTTCTATGCCAAGTACTCAAATGCCTGAGCATAACAATACTGAGCAACCTCAGCTAAAAAATAATGAAGAACAAGTACCAGCAGCTAAACGACTAAAAGTTGCAAAATATAAAAAGTGTAGAGTACAGTTGCACACAGAAATGTTGTAATGCGAGAATTCTATGTGTTGGGAACGGTTGTGCAATACTTTATTATTTTATATTTTTTGGTTGAAATATTTAAAAAATACCCAAATACTGCGATGATAAAACGCAGTATTTGGGTATTTTTTAAATATTTCAACCAAAAAATATAAAATAATAAAGACTCAAAACAGCAGAAAATACAATAAGTTCTCCAAGCATCTAACTAGTTATTCAAATAAGCTCTCCTTTATTGATATAATCAG